ATTCCATTGTTCTTAGCCGAGGCCGACATCTCTTTAGAATCGTCAAAATCGATCACATGCCAGCCAGTTAGTGAGCCCTTATTGGAATTCTTGATGCTCGGTCTAGCGTAATTCGGGTTCTCCTCTCGAAAATAAGCTGCGTCGACCACGACTCGGCTTTCGATAGGAATTTCAATAACCTAGTTTTTCTCGATGTAGAATCCCTTGCCTTTATACTCGCAGAGGTAGACGTCCATCAAAGACAGAAATTTCTGTCCGCATTCGGTGAGCTGGGCCCTGACTTCCCTTTCATTCCGGTGATATTTAAGGGGGAATATCTCTAGAGTAGTGATCTGTTTCGCACCACAGAATATCTCGATAACATACTCACTTGAGGTTCCCCCAAACACCTTCCCGTCAAAATCCAAATAGCGAGCCTTGACGTGGAAGTATTTTATCCCACCATTTGCTGTTTTCTCTTCCCCAAATTCGTACTTCACACATCTTAGCTGGCCAGTGCCGAAGCATTTTGTGTGTGCTAGAGTATTCGGCTTGTTGAAGAGCGTCCATAGGAGGTCGTACGTGATCTGATGCTTCTCGAGATGCGGGCCAAGGCGCTCGGTTGTCGAAGCGTAAGCTGCCCGGATAAAATCAAGTAGTAAATCTAGATAATCTAGCGTAGAACTATCGAGGGCCGCGCTTGGATTTTGGCGGCACTCCTCTAGATCGGTGAGGTAATGGTAGAGGAGGTTCTGCTCTACCTGTACTGAGTTAGTAGTTGCTCTGGCATTTGAGAACTTGGGAGGGCAGGGTCTAGACTTACAGAAGGCTTCTCTTCATAAAGGCAGATCCCGTGGACATCTTGCATAATCTTCCGGATGATGTCACGCAAGCCCGCAGATTTTATATCTACATATTAGATCTGATTCTTGGTCTCTTTGTCTAAATTGCTGTCAGAAACGGAGGTTGCATTCGAAACTAGGACCTACCAAGACGTGTGCGAGCGACAAAGACGTAGTGATCCAGCTCATTCACTTTATCAGCTGCCACCAGCTTCGCCATCGCCGACCTGGGATCTGGGGCTTCTCGTGAGGACGTGATCACGTCAAGGTGGTGGGACGTAGAAGCTCGCAAAATGCTAATAACCGCCATAATCGGCAAAGTTAAAGTGCTTTGCTCACTATTTCCCAGGGAGGATAAAAAGACCGCAATCAAATATTTGAAGGGACGTCCAGATCTCGACATGCTCCTCGCGCTGTATTATAGAGTCCAAGACTTCTCCAGGGAGCAACATGTAGCGCCGCCTGTATTCCGGATTAGAGTGTTTGTCGATGAGGGGTGGGCAGGCTTCGAGGAGCGCCTCGAGGAGCGTTTCGTGGTGGCTAGGGGCAGTGCTTGGTGGATTTTTGGTCTTTTTAGAGAGGGCATGGTACGCAAACTTTTGAATGAATGAGTTACTAAAGAGGAATTCTTTTTATTTGTATTCTACTACCTTAATCTAGAAATAGTGCAATCCAATCATCTATCTTCCCTTTATGTTGCGTACAAAAATCTTGCGAGACAATGCGAATGATGCACAATCAGAGCAATTACTTATACTTATGTGCTGTATAGCTTAGAAAGTGTATAGAATTGCCTATGACATCCGAGCATTCTTTATAAAGACATAAGAATCTACTATTAGCCAACTGTCTCTGAAGATACTGAACTCGAACGTGCCTCCTTAGATTATCTTTGCGTGAAAATAAACCCCGTTCGCAAAATAAGTAATATAATGTGAAGTCTATATATAGCCTCTTGTTTACTATTTACGTCCCTTAAACTTTTACTAGTGTGTCACCTCCTTTCTCTTGGGAAATCCCGTCGTTATCGTTAGTACTTGTATTAATATATAAATAGCTTTTCTTAGAATGCTACTTTAATTATACCGCTTTGAATTAGCGAGGCGTTTCTTAGCAGTAGCAAAGTTATACTAAAGTATAAACGAGTTAGACTCGTATAGTGAAAACCTAATCTTTATAAAGCTCGTTAAGCGGTTAAAAGAGTAATTTGGCTATTATAACCCGCTTCTCAAGCTCATACTCGATAGTCGATGGCGTGAGCACTTTTGTATTAAGAAAAATGCCCCGTATTTAGCGATCTACTTCATTAACGTAAATAGTTTTGTGGAAGTTATTAATTATATTATTAAGTAGCTTATTTCTTAATTTATTTTTCTTATAATTAATCTTGCGTTAAGTTTCGTAGTGTTTCTTATACTAAAACGTACCCTTAGCTGCCTTAATTATAAAGTAGCTGTCTTCCTTTATCTTAAGCGCGTAGCTCTTTCGGGCTTTCACCTTTTTTAGGATATATAAATAGTTCGAAATCTCCTTTTTTTATATATTACTTAACTTATCCGGGGCATTATTATAACGTTTAAGGCGGCCGACAGCTTGAATAAGATCCTCGCGGCGAGTGGTTCTAAGGTAAATAGCTTAATAATCGGCGTCAATAAACGAGAGTATATAATATCGTTTATATACGTCCTTACTATTTCCTATGGCGTGTTTTCTCTCCTCGGGGGTTAGTGCTTTTATATTGTTCACATTTAGTAAATTTATATCGGCAAGGGTCACATAAAAGATCGTTCTTACTATTCAATCGTTTCTTAGATCCTCTTCGCAAGTTATACTATTAGAGCCGTTTCCTAAAACGACAGGTGCGGTCAAAACGAATGAAGTAGTACCGGTGCTTCTCGTATATAAATGATTTCGTCTTCGATATTTAGACTTTAGTTAGCGTATACTCGACGTCACGGAAAATAAGTCATTTTACTTAGTCGTCGTCTTATTTTAAACGAATACGATCTGTTCCTTTCGGAATAATAAGATCGTAGATCTGTTATAGTAATGTGAATTTATTCTTAAATGTGTTGTTTGTAATAGCTAAAGCTATAATAAATATAATTAGGTAACAAATTATACTTTTATCGTCGCGGAACGTGAATTTTTTCTTATATAAGATTAAATAATTTAAGTAAGTATTAAAAGGAAAATAAATATGTACTTATGGCTTCTTCTTTTTACTTAACCGCTTAATATATTAAAAGTTAAAGATAAGCTGTATAATAGGCCGCCGTCCTTTTATTAAGGGAGGGAAGACTTGAAACTTAATATCTTCGTACAAGAGGGGTATCTTCCTAACCAAAGCTATAGGCCTTATAGACGTATAACTAGCGAAAATGTTAATCAGGGACTCTTATACTCGAAGTCGTTTATAAGGAAATTTCTCTTAATCACGAACTTAGAGACTGTTTTAAAGAACACATAAGTCTTTTACGTATAAGGCAAACTTCTCGACTTTTAAATTATTAAGACCGAGTATAAGAATTTACTATAAATTTATTAATATTATTAATTTTTTAAAAAAGATTAACAATAAATATTACGAAGGTCTGCTAGAATCCCCTTATCTACGTAACACTTTGTTATGCGTTAGTAGTTTATATTAAGTACGTACTAGTACGTAAATATAGTTACTTGCCTCTTAATACGCGAATTCTTCTTTTTCTTCCGCTAGATAAGGAATATCTTGAAGTTTTCCGCGGTTACACTTTTAAGAGTAGCCACTAGATCTCCCTTTCTTATTTTCTTATAATACCTAAAGTGCCGCTATTAGTAAGTATATAATATTAAATAATAATAGCGACTTATAATTTTCATATTTATTCTTCTCTTTTTATTATCGCCTTTGTCTTGTTATAGGGGTTTACTAAATTTAGGTTAACGATTACGAACTCGGCCTTGATCTTCCGATAATACTCGGCTTCTGAATCGAGGTAACGGTTAGAGCTATAATCAAAGTTAGACTTAGAATTAGAATCGGAGTTAGAATTAGAGGCGGCGCTGGAATCGTTAGTATTAAAAATGGGCACCTTCTGCCTTTTCTTGGCCTGTAGTTTAATTGCTTGAGGATTCTTAGCACTAAATAAATCTAACGGAGGGGTTTTATAACGGCTATAGTAAAGAGTCTTACGCTGGGCGTAATGTCGAGGCAGCTTTTGTAGTGAAAGAGACATAGTATTACTTAATAGTAATACTAAAGATATAACGAGGATTATTAATTATTATAACGTTAAACTTCTTAAACAATTAAGGACAATATCGTCTTAAGAAGAGGATTGTTTACGACGTCGTAAGGAGTTAATCTTAAGTTGTGTTATTATATACTGCTTATACTACTTCGTCTCCTTAGTAGCTTTGAGTATGAGGTAGTGGTATTTGAGGAATTAGAGGTACTTATTATAGTGTACAATTAGTCTAGTAATACGTCGATCGTGCGAGTTTATAAATCCTCGATTAGTAGTTTAGGAATATAAAAAGGTACGGGAACTAGAATAGAGGAAGAATAATTCGATAGTAAGGAGGTAATAAGTAAGAGGGTAATAAGAGAAAAACGACGGCGAGACTAATGATTTAAATATATACTTAATAGGGTATTAGGGCCTCTTATATAAATAACCTTCCGTTGTAGTTAACTCTTACTATTCTAATAGTTATAGTTATTAACTTAGAATAGGCGAGGGAAAATTTATTAGTTAGAAGGTGCTTAAGGCGGCGAGTGGGCTAATGTGTTAGAGCTCGTAGCTTAATATTCGAGCGCCTAAGCGAGGTGGAAAGGGTTAGTAAAACAGCGACTACACTACCCCAGAAACGGGGATGAAATCACTAACATCTCAATACTAATAATAAATTATAATAAGCCTTATATTTTTTTAATAATAAAATTACGTAAGAGAATTTAAAAGTTATAATTTAAATTCTAAAGTTATTTAATTTAAAGTTATTTAATTTATAATATAATTAATAATTATTTTTTTACTTATTTTTTATAACTAAATTCTAACATTAATTTAGAGTTATAAGTGCGCTTAAGAAATAAATATAAAATTATTAGTAAAATTAAAAAGTAGATTTAAATAAAATTTAAAATATTAAAGTATTTATATATTAAAATAAGAAAATAAAATTTATCTTATTGGTTATATAGTGTAGTAGTAACACATTGAGTATTCTTAATACTTCTTTATCTTTGGTTTAATTCCAAATATAACTCTTGGTAAAAATAACTTCATTGCTTATTAAAAGGATTAATAAAAAGTCTTATTAAAAGAGTTAATAAAAAGTGTTGGGATTTTTACCTTTTTTTTTCCTCCCGAAGCCTTACCGTCGTTTAATTACTTTTTGAATTCGAATATTAATAATAATTATAATTAAAAGTTATAAGTGTATTTAAAAACGTAATATAAAGTTATTAATTAAATGAAAAAGTTAAATTATTATAAGGTTTTACTTGCTAAAGAGTTAATAAAAAAACTCCTTTTTTTTTAGTATTAAAGCCTTATAACGATCTCATATTCTAATAAAATCTAATAACTTATAATATTAAGTTTATTTAAAAATTAAAAATTACTTATTTGATAATATTATTAAAATATTAAAGTAATATTTTAAAAACCTCGTTTAATTTAATAATAAGAAAATTATATTTTTAATGCTTATAGCTAGAATCGAACTAGCACAGTAGAGGAGCAAATGACATTTGCCTCAACGTGCTACCATTACACTATATAAGCTAAATTATTAAAATAAATATTTTTATTTAGTTATATATATCTATTAAAAAAAATCTTAAAAATAAATATATATTAGAATTATTTTTTAACTTTCTTATTTATAATCTAAATTTAATTATTTTTTAACTAAGCTATAAAACGAATTAAGTTCTAAAATTATATATAAGAAACTAATATAATATTATTAATTATACTTCGTAATAAGTAATATAAGATTGTTAATTAATTTTAAGGATTTACTTTTATATTTTAAATTTTATAAAATTTAAAAAGAATTCAAGTATACTTATAATTAAATAAGAAAATAATATTTATCTTATAGGTTATATAATATAGTAGTAACACATCGAATATCTATTATAAATATATTTCTTTATCTTTAGTTTAATTCTAAATATAACTATTAGTAGGAGTACGAGTAGCCTTTAGGTTACTAGTACTCCTACTTTTTTTTTACCTTTTTTTTTTTACTTTTCTTTTCGCTTAATCTTTAATACTTTATTTTTAATTTATTATTTCTTTATTAAACCTTAAAAAATTATACTTATACTCTAATAAGATTATATACTTTAATAGCTTTTATAAGTCTAAATAAAATAAAAAAGTTAAGTTATTATAAGTGTTTACTTACTAAAATATTTATTATGACTTTACTTAATTATAAGATATTTTTTAACTTTTTATTATATAAGCCGATTTTTATAATTTTTTAATAAAACTACTCGCTTTAATAGCATTTATAAGTGTACTTAAGAAACTTATATAAAATTATTAATAAAATAAAAAAATCAATCTACTATAAGCATTTACTTACTAATACACGTGCTCTAACTTTACTTAACCCTAAAACATTTTCTAACTTTTTATTACATAATCCGATTTTTATAATTCTTTAATATAATTACTCGTCTTAATAGCCTTTATAAGTACACCTAAAAAACCTATATAAAATTATTAACTTAATTAAAATCGGGCGCAGGTCCTTATTTTTAACGCTAAGGCGCTTGCGGCAACCCCCTGTTTTCGACGCCAAGGCCTTGGAGCGACCCTGCTCTGCGGCAAAATCTCAAGGCTTATAATATTAAGTGTTAGTCCACAGGTCCCTGCATAAGTATACTTCGGCCTGGAAAAGGGGGTGCGGGTTAAAGTCAGGGGTTAGAACTTAGTCGGACTAGTTTTAGTAGAGATTCGGTAGTGTTTTGTAATATATAGTCTAGCTCTTTTTGTACTCTCTTAGAAAATATATAGATTTTGAACTATATATTTATTACTTTATTATTATACTCGCATTAGAATATATTTACATATGCGGCGTAATATATAAACTAGTATTACACTGACACTAATTAATAGCAAGCTTATATCGTTAACTTTATTATAAATAGAAAAGGTCTCAGGCTATAAAGCGGATTTTAGGCTTTAACTTAAGGATTACTTTATTGTATTTTCTTTAAAGGGCATTTTACCGTTTTTAAATTATAGAGGGAAGGCAACTTCTCTCTTAAGACTCGACTAAGACTATTGTACGTTAGAGAAGAGCTATTATAATATAACAATTACTTTATAAAGATTATTAATTTAATATCCTTAAATCTAGAACTTTAGACTTTTAAGAAACTTATCCAGGAACTTACTAGATCACATACGAATCGTATCTAATATAATAGCAGATACTTTAGACTATACGCTAAAGTTAGAATTGACTTTAGAAACATTTAATAATACGGCTATATTAAGAGAAACGCTAAATCTTGGCCTAGCTTTTATAAGAGATGTAATAGTATATTTATAGAAGTTCTGTGAGTCCTTTTATAACGGCCGTATTAAGGGAGAATTCCTTTTCTAAGACTTTTAGGAGTATTTTAAGGGTTAGACGACAAAGGAGTTTAGATTAATTAAGGTTATAAAACGTATATACCTCAGGAACGACTTACGAGCCTTTAGTATATTTATACGACAGTAAAGGGGGACGAGGACAGTAAAGGCTTTAGTAAAGACAGTATAAGTTAAAGAAAATTTGTAACTAAAGAACTAAATAGAGATATAAATTTAGAACTACCCTAAATTAGTACCGAATTACATCCGGGAATTACTCTCTCGACTACTACTACTAATCTTAATAACACTTTAATAAAATTAACTCTTAATATCTTTATAATACTAACTAAAGGTAGTTATTTATTTTATAAAGGAAGACTCTCCTTTAAAAGGGTTAAGAGTAAAGCTTATAGAGACGATTTAATTATTAAGATTACTTAAGATCTCCCTTATTAAAAGAGATAAGGTCGAGGATCTATATAATATAACCTTCTCACTTATAGTCCTAAAGAAGGAGTTCTTATTTACTCTTAGGAGGGATCCCCTAAGTAATCTCTACTTATAGAAATTAAATAACCACGCGTTGTTAAATCCTATATTAACGCTAGTAATACACTTACGGGACGAGTTATTACTACTATTTAAGGTTCTTAAGACTACTAGACTATATACAAAGCCGATTCGGCTATTATAGTATATTATAAATTTATTGACCTTAGACTAGGCAAAATCGTTAGTAAACCTTACTAAGATATATACTAAGGAACTCTAATATAGCGGAGACAAAGACTACTTAAATAAGAAGCTCCATATTTTTGCTGACTTATATTAGAAAGTATTAATTAAATCTCAGGTCTAGAACCGAGCTTTTCCGTTAATACTACGAGACGGAGCTAGTTCGTATTATTACTAGTACTTCTAAAATAAGGGGTACTCATTTAATGAGCTTATTAGGACGACTCGCGAGTACTTTAAGACAAAGGAGAGAGTTAATAAGTTCCTTAGCCGGTGGTTTAGTTTAACTTTCTTATTATTTTAAGATAAGCCTTACTAGACAAGAAAACCGGTGCTAACTTAATTAAAGAACTTTACTAAGGAACTATAGAGTATTTAACTTAGCTTAAAGGACGACAATATATAAAACAATAAGACGCTCCGTGATAAGCTTATATAAGGAGTAATAGGGAACCCCCTCTTTAAGATGGCCTTATTTTAAGTACCCCTTACTTTTCTTACGTTAATAAATAGTCTTCACTTCGCCGTCGGCGTTAAAGTAACTTATAACTCGGGATCGAGGGTAAGTACTCTAGATTATATACAAATCGTTACTAGTCTTATGTCGTAAATAGGGCGACTTATTACTTTAATTATAAGATGAAATTTTTAAGTAGAAACAAACGCGGAAACAAATTCTAGCTTAGGCCAAGTTATATAAGCTGTATTATTTATAAAACGATAAATTACTGTAATAGTCGCTACTTAAATAAAGAGTAAATAGCGTTTAAGGTAAAATACTTCGCGGCGCGTAAGGCCGAAGGAGTGAAGGCCACGGATAAGACCTTTAGGAACTACTTAGCTTATATTAAGGGAATCGACCTTAATTTAAACTAGAACTAGACTATATCTGAACACTATTCGGGAAACTACTAAGATACGGATTTAAACACTTTAATAAATATTAACGACTCTTTAGAGAGTTCCGACGACGATAATAACGATAGCACCGTAAACTTCACGACTGTATTTATAATAAGTAAGGCATAATATAATATACGAGAAGTTATAGGCTAACTTAAGGAGAGGAAGGCTACTTATATTTTAGAAAGCAAAATCAAGAGACTTACTCTAAGCGAGGCTTATATAACGTAATAAACAGACAAATTCTTTTAAGGTCTATTAATTAATATAAAGGTATTTAATAAAAACATAGGAGGAATTAATTAGTTACGGGCATTACAGCGAATTTAAGATGTTAAGTTTAACACTAACTAGGCGGGCTAGAGCTAAATTACATTTAGTGCCGGTTCGCGACTATCCCTAAGAGTAGTTACAGTTAATACTCCGGCTAGAGAAATAGACTTCTAAATTATAGACGTAAATATCCTGTTTCTAGTTTACTTATAGTAATTAAATACGCTCAACGCGTAATACGATAACTTACGTAATGTCTTAATTTAAGGTAATAAGAAGCACTTAATTATACGGAAGTATAGGCATTTATAGTTACTTTTGGATCAATATCGTTAATTACTAGACACTTCGATTAAAACAATAAATATATGCTACTTAACTAAGCCAGAAATACGTCGGCTTTATAGGCGTTTCGGACACCCTTTAGTAAGACGTCTTTAGCACCTACTAAATTAAGCTGGCTATAAGTATAACTCGGAAGTTATATTAAGGGTTAAAGAGATGTGTAAGTATTGCCAGAAATATATAAATACTCTATATAAGTTCCACTTTAAACTATAAGACGACGTTGACTTTAATTATATAATCTACGTTAATATCGTGATATTTAGAGAACGATATACCTTTTATATAATAAATAAAGTAACGGGTTTTAATACGGCGAAACTACTCCGAAAGGCCCCCGGTTCGGCTACGGCTTAAGCTACCTTTAACGTATTTAAGTTAATATAAATTAATATATACTTTAGACCTCTAGATTTTGTCGTGTACGATTATAATACTAATTTTAATTCTAAGGAGTTTTAAAGTGTACTTAGATTTGTAAGTAGTACTCTTAAGTTAGTACTTATTAAGGTATATTATTTAATTAGTAAAGTTAAGCGATATTACCGCCTATTACGCCGTGCCTATGAAATCGTTATAGAAGAACACCTTAAGTTAAGTGACAAAGACTGACTATAAATAGCGGTAAAAGTAGTAAACAATATAATTAGACTTAATAGGCTTATCCTTATATTATTTGTTTTTAGCGTATACCTTAGAATAACAGAGTTAGACTCTCTAAATCCATTAGTCAAGTAACGTGCGGTTACGATTAAGAAAGCTATAAAGGAAGTATAGAAAATCTATATTACGTGTAAAGTTAACGATACGTTAGTTATATAAAACGGCCCTAGAACTACTTATATTTACGGTTTTTACTTTAATAATTAAGTTTTAGTGTATTAAGAGGGCAAAGGATAGACAGGACTTTACGATTTCTTAAGTAT